TCACTATTTATAAACTTAGCCATTGATTAATAAATCATAAAGAGGTATACAGATGTGTGTTCAATTTGACTCAGTCTGAAAGAGGAAATTTTTTCCTGCATGTTCAAAAATCAGAGAGATTAAAGGACAAATGTAAGGCCGCCGTGTTCAGTTTGAAAAGTTGTTTGTCTTGACCAATTCCGGTCTCTAAAAATCCTGGTGGAGATTCTAAACTGTTCTCCTTTTTCATTCTTTTTACGATAAACTTGAGTAGCGTGCAAGGATGGCCTCAGAGCACACGCGAGGGCCTTTTGAATAAGTGCGCGACAGCTATGGTTACCGCACGAGTATTGTGTGCGAAAGCAATCTGTAGATTCATAGAGAACGAACAATTGCGACAAGACTTTCAGCTGTATTCTATAATTTCCGTGTGTTAAGTTTTGCGATTGTAATAGTGTTTCTAAAGACGTGGAGCAGACCACGACGGCGAGAGTAACGAGGACGCGGCGAATCAAAAGTTTCCGTGAGAAGAACGTTCGGCTCGTGCGTTTTATGACTTTGGCCGTTCTGTACAAACAACCACGTGAAGCCACCAAAATTTGCGTGTTTCGAGAACCGAAACCTGACAGTAAATTATTTATTTTCCATTCGAAGCTTAAAACTGTTTACATACATTATGCTGAATTTGGGGTGCGGTGCCGTTAGAGACGTAAACAAATCGAACCATTCACGGAATTTTAGCTAAAAATTTAAATTGTTAACTGAAGTCTTCCCCGGCGTGTCCTGACAGCTTACGGTCCCAAACGTGTCCCTCATGTGTTTGGCGCTTAAAAGTGACATGTATTTATATCACCTCCCATGTTGTTTTCATTGTTACAAAGGTGTCACGCCTCCTTACACGTGCGAAAAACGATTTTATCGACAACGGTCACGGCCTCAGCAGCTTGGAGAGCTTTACGCTCGACTGTAAAAAAAAAATTCATATTCTTCTTATCGCTATCCCCCTGCCTTCCACCATCGTCCAGTATAACTCTACATCAAACATGGCTGGTCGGATAAACTAGCACGAGCTTGTAACGTTGAACAACTTGCCCTCTTAGGACACCGGCAACACATGCCAATACTATTTTGGCGAATAATCCCTCC